TATAAAGACAGGAAGGCCATGCCCAGTGTCTTCATTAGGGTTTCTACTGCTGTGAAGAGACAGTATGACAATAGCAACTCTTGGAAAGGAAAACATTTCACTGGGACTGGCTAAACAGTTTAGTCGTTTAGTTGATTGTCATCATGGCAGGAAGCATGGTGGCATGTGGGCAGTCATGGTGCCAGAGAATAGCTGTGAGTTCTATATCCCAATCCACAGGCAGCAGGGAGAGAGAGCCACCAGGCCTGACTGGGACATTGGGAACCTCCAAGCCCATCCCCAGTGACTCATGTCCTCCAACAAGGCCACATGTCCTAATCCTTTCAAATTATGCCATTTCCTATGAACCTGTTTCATTCAGACAACCACACCCAGAGAAAGTGAGCTCATTCAAGAGCTCTGTACAGATGCTTCCCAGCTCCCTTCCTCCCCAGAGGAGATACTATGGTGTCCCTGGGCAGGAGAGATGGTGCAGTGATAAAGGCACTCACTCTTCTTGTAGGGGACCACTTTGCTTCCCAGCAACTACTTTAAGTGGCTCACAACCACCTGTGATTCCAGCTCCAGGAGATCCTATGTTCTTTTCCAGGCACTTACAGGTAATACAGTACACACACACACACACACACACACACCGTTGTCAAAAGGCCCTTTCCTGAAAAGCTAACCTAAGGGAACAAGGGGAAGAAAGAAGGGAGAGGATTTTTTAAAAATCTACATTTTGAGAAGGGAGGTGAAAGATGGTTCAGTGGCCAAGCGTGTCCTGGCGCTTTTCCAGGGGACCCCAGTTCAGTTCCCAGTGCCTACATCATGGGGCCCACTACCACCACCTGTAACTCTAGCCTCAGGGGGATCCAACATGTCTGGCCTCCAGGAGTCCCTTTACTTATGAGCCCATACCCCCCCACACACACAATAACAGCAATAAAAAAGAAAAAAATTGAAGAACAGAAAAATGGAAGAGGATACATTATGGAGGGCTGGTGAGATGGCTGAGTGGGCAACGGCACTTGCCACAAAGCCTGACAGCCCGGGTTCAACCCCTCTGACCCGGGCAGTGGAAGGAGAGAACTGACTCTCAGATGCTGTCCTTTGACCTCCACATGTGTGTCATGGCACGCACATGCCATGTATAACACACATGCACAACAAAGAGAAGTGTGAGTTTTCTAAATGAATAATTCAAGAAATAGTTGCAGAGTCGCCTCTATAAATTGTCTAGAATAATGGATAAATGCAGATCCACTGCAAGTAACATGCTATAAATTAGTGAAATCTGACTAAGGCAAAAAGAAAATCGTGCTTGTTTCCAGGGATAGAGAAAAATTAATGGTTTACACACAAAAGCCAAGTAAACAGGCCGGGGGGAGGGGAGGTAAGCGGGCAGATCTCTGAGTCCCAGGTCAGCCTGGTCTACAGATTGAGTTCCAGGGCAACTGGGGCTACATAGAGAAACTCTGTCTTGAAAAAAAAAAAGACTGCTTTGACAACATCTCCCTAGTCCACTGGAAATTCCTTCACATTTCTGCAAAGAATCACCTCCAGCCAGGAATCTGCACCCCACCAAACTATCTCATAACCATGAAAGCAAAACAGGCATTTCCAGAAATGCAAAGATCATTAAATGTTTTCTATTTTCCCTTCCAAATCTTCATCCTGCCTCAGTTGCTATGAAGAGGTGAGCTGTACTAATGGAGTCCTTGGAAAGCAGGGGGCAAGGTGGTGTTGATTGTTCTGTTGGCTATGACTCTGGTTTCTATGGATCCAGCATCTATCAACAAAGGCCATAACTCTGTCCAAGCATCCTTTCCTATAACTACTCTCTCTATGTCCTAGAAACTTCTCCCCCTCAGTCTTTTAGCTCAGTCTGTACTGTCTGCCCCATCCCTTTGTTTACTCTGGTTCATTAGGTTATTGTGACACTAACACTGCAAAGACACTGTGTGTTTCTATAATCTCCAGGTCCAGGTCCACTAGAGCTTGCTTGAGTCAGATGAGCTCAGCTAGACATCATTACTTCAAGCTTTAACACCTAGAACAACCACGTTTTGCACTGTACATAATGTGTGGTCGGAGTTACTCTGTTCCTAGGTCTTTCATCCTCCTTGGCAGCCATATTTCTCTAATGACTGTGGCAGAGTCTCATGAGCACAAATGAGTACAGATGTTCCTGGACTTACAATGGGTTATGTCCAATATATCCATCGAAGTTGAAAATATCATAAATGGAATGACCCTGATATCCCTAGTCTACTGAGCATCACAGTTCAATTCACCTACCTTAAATGTGCTCAGAAGCCTCATATTAGCCTAAAGTTAGGGAAATCATCATCCTAAAACCTGTTCTACAGTCAAAGGTTGGATAGCTCACAACTTGCTCTTATGAAAAAATTAAAATGCAAGCACCACAGTATGCTGCAGGGACTCAGTTACTGACCTCACTATCATCGCGTGACCAACAGGAACCTGCAACTGACTGCTGTATTGTATCACAAAGAGCTAGCCTGGGAAAATAGGAATTTCTGCTGAATCTGTGTCGCTTTCACACCATCGTACAGTTGACCATTTGTAAGTCAAATCACCACAAAGCAGGGGCTATGTTAGTTTTCTTTCTCATCACTGTCATCAATTTACTTGATGTGGAGTAAACTTACGGGAGAAAATGTTTGTCTTAGCTCACAGTTTCAGATTTCAGTATTTCAAAGCAGAGAAAGCACGGCAGAGTGCATGGCTTTGTGAGTGTGTGAAAGGTTCCTCATTTCATGGAAGGCGAGGCAACAGAGCAGTCAGAATAAGGTACTTGTCTGTAATCTTCAGGGGCCCGCCGCTAATGACCTACTTCACCAGCTTGGTCCCCCCTTCCTAAGGGTTCCACAACCTCCCAAGATAGGACCACCTACTGAAGAACAAGTATTCAAAACAAGAGCCCATGCAGAACATTTTACATTCAAATAAAAATAGGAATTATCTACCTGTGTATCTCTTAGACCTTAAATTAGAAACAGCATGGTCTCACATCTCACCACCCACCTTTGGCCTCAAAAAATCCTATGGCCAATACAAAAGATACAATCTACCCACACTGAGGACATGAGAGGGTATGGAAGCAGAGAGATCTGAAGAATTAAAGTCCATTGTTCTGGGGATGCAGAGAGATGCTCAAGAGTTAAAGAGAGCTTGCTGTTCTTTTAGAGGGCCAGTTTGCCTCCAGAATCTACACCAGGCAGCTTACAACCATTTGTAACTCCAATTCCAGAGGATCCAATGTCCTCTTCTAAACTCCACAGGCACTCTCACACACACACACATACATACATACATGCATACATACATACATACAGACATACACACACACAGAAATAAAACATACAAATATGTTTAAATCAGTTGGGATTGGAAAGATGGCTTAGTGTTTAAGAGCACTTTCTGCTCTTGCAGGGGACCCAATTTATTTCACACATGGTGGCTTATAATTGTCTATAACTCCAGTTACAGGGAATATGATGTACTCTTCTGGCCTCCAAGGGCAGCAGGTACATACATACAATACATATACATACATACATACATATCAGCAAAACATCTATACACATAAAATAAATCTTTAAAGAAAATAAAGTCTATTACTCAATCTGCCACCCCTGCTTACATCTTTATAAATATTTCCTTTATTAAATCCATCTCAATTACCCCTATTTGAGTGTGCCATATGTTGCCTTCCTGGCTGCAGATAGATGCAGGGATAGGTACCAGGAGGGGCTCAAGAAAACACACTCTCAAAATAGTAGTCTGATATTTTGTTGCTCTCATGTATTTGAGAAGTACACAGCCACTCTCCTCACCAGGAGAAAGTAGAACGCTGTCAACCCAAGGTACTCGGTAAAATAACAGTGACAGCCTATCACTGGTGGCAGCATGGAGCGAATTCAGGTGGAGGGCAACAGAAATAAAGTGACTATGGTACTTAGTTGCCATGGTAACAATAGTGATTGTAGAGACTATAGTCAGCTGATGGCTTCTGATGGCTCTAAGGACTGCAAACGAGGGAAAAAAATATATCAAGTGACTTAAATGCACAACTCAGAATCTGACAGGAAGTCAGCAGTCTCCATGATATCTTTAAAAGAAACCATCTTCTTTGGTCATTGAGCTGATATAAATGAGGGTCAAGACTAAAATTTGTTTTAATAATTGCAGGGTTAAAAATTTTTTAAACAAAATAGTGAAAGACTGGAAAGCTGGTGGTAAATCCAGTCTAAAAGAAAGAATCTGAAGAGATACTTGTGTTCCTTTCTCTGGCATTCAGACCACAAAAACAATATCCCCAAGAAATTACAATTTTCCCAGGAATCTCATACTAGGAAAAGAATGAAGCCTAATGCCAGCCAGAGGAAGAAACTGTCTCCTAGAAGGAAAATAGATTTTAAACTGTTCTGGCATACCTGGCTGGGCCTACTTAGCTATTCATACCTTGGCTCCACTACTTAAACCTCATGCCAGGGCCCCGAAGACAGACTAGGAGGGCTGCCGGCCATCCTTGCCCCTTTCCCCCATGTATAAATTATATAGGTTTCCTTTTTCTGCTTTTCTCTATTTCTTGTTTGTTTAATTGGTCTATTGAGAACAGAGGGCCAAACCTGCTTCATTTATAAGCTCTGACTGACTCAGGCTGCAAACAGTATGACAATTAAACGATAAGGCACTTGGTTAGCATGGGGAAGGTTCTGCATTAGATCCGCACCGTTGGGAGGAAATACCTCAAAATCTCCAGCTTAAGTTTCCCACAATAAGCTAATTGTACTAATGGGAAAGAATGAGACCTTGGGATATTGGACAGAGTCATACAGACACAAGTAAGACCAGAATCTGAGATGAAAATCACCCTAAATCTCCAACAGGAGGTTATGGCTGCTCATTTGCAATACATTTAAAAATTCTGAAGACCATACCTTAGAAAAGTGCCATAATGAAATGTGATTTTCCTAAATATCTACTTCCAGGTCATCCATTGCTTCCAAACCCACAAGGACAAATCTTGGTATAACTCTAATCAAGCAAGCGAAAATCATGTATGATAACTTCAAGTCACTGAAGAAAGAAATTGAAGAAGGTATCAGATGATGGAACGATTTCTCATAGTAAGTGTGGTCATCCTACCAAAGCCAATATACAGATTCAACACAATCCCCATCAAAATTCCAATACAATTCTTCACAGACCTTGAAAGAACAAATTTCAGTTTCATAAAGAAACACACACACACACACACACACACACAAATAGCTAAATCTATCCCAAATAATACAAGAACTGCAGAAATTATCACCATCCCCAATTTTAAGTTGTACTGTAGAACCATAGCAATAGAAATAGCATGGCAGTGGTACAAAAGCAGACATGTTGATCAATGGAATCAAATTGAAGACCCAGACCTAAGTCCACACAGGTATGGATGCCTTGTTTTTTTGTTTTTGTTTTTTTGTTTGTTTGTTTGTTTTTGATTTTACAAGACAGGGTTTCTCTGTATTGTTTTGGAGGCTGTCGGTCCAGCCTGGCCTCGAACTCACAGAGATCCACCTGCCTCTGCCTCCCGAGTGCTGGGATTAAAGGCGTGTGCCACCACCGCCCAGCTGGATGCCTTGTTTTAAAAAAAAAAAAGAAGCCAGAAATACACACACTGGAAAAAAGATAATTTCGCCAGTAAAATGGTGCTGGTCAAAATGGACAACTGCATGTAGAAGAACCCAAATAGATACACACTTAGCACACTGTATAAAACTAACTGCAAATGAACCAAAGACCTCAGCATAAAACCAGATGCACTGAACCAGATAAAAGAGAAAGTAAAGAAAAGCCTTAAACTCATTGGCACATGAAAAGATTTTGTGAACAGACGCAAATAGCACAGGCACTAAGATCAACAATTAATAAATGGGACCTCATGAATCTGAGAAGCTTCTGCATGACAAAAGACACTGTCATTCAAAGTGGCAGCCTACAGAATGGGAAATAATTTTTTACCATCTACAAATTCAGTAGAGGGCTAATACCCAAAGTATATAAAGAAATAAAAAAAACTAAATATCAAGAAAACAAATAAGCCAATCTAAAAATGGGGGTATATATCTATACAGAATTCTCAACAGAGAAATTTCAAATACCTATGGAACACTTAAAGAAATGCTCAACATCCTTAGGAAAGAAATGTTCAACATCTTTAGGCACCTGGAAAATGCAAATTAAAACTACTTTGAGGTTTCACCCTACACCTGTTAGAGTGGCTAAGATCAATAAAACAAGTGCTGGTGAGGATGTAGAGTAAGAGTACTCATCCATTGCTGGTGAAAGTGCAAACTTGTGCAGTCACTGTGGAAATCAGTGTGGCAGTTCTTCAGGAAGATGGAAATAGATCTTCCTCAAGATCCAGCTGTACAATGCTTGAGCATATACCCAAAGGATACTTCATCCTTTCAGAGAGACACTTGTTCAACCATGTTTATTACTCTTACATTCATAATAGGCAGAAATTGGAAATAACCTAGATGTCCCTCAACAGAAAAGTAGGTAAAGAAAATGTGGTACATTTATACAGTTGAGTATTACTCATCTGCTTAAAAACATGAAATCAGTTGGGCATTGGTGGTGCACACCTTTAATCCCAGCACTCAGGAGGCAGAGGCAGGTGGATCTCTGTGAGTTTGAGGCCAGCCTGGTCTACAGAACAAGTTCCAGGACAGCCTCCAAAGCAATACAGAGAAATCCTATCTGGAAAAAAAACAAAAAAAAGAGAGAGAAAACATGAAATCATAAAATCTATCATAAAATAAATCAAATTTAAAAAGCCATTCTGAATGAGATATCCCAGACCCAGAAAGACAAATATAGTATGTATTCACTTATATGTGAATATTAGCTATTAAGTCAACGATGAGCTACATCCTGTAGAATCATAGAGTTTAGACATACAGTAAGGGACAAGGGGTGACAGAGAGATCTTGTTAGGAAAGGAGGAAAGAGTAGATAGTTATGGATGGATGGGGGATAGAATGAAAGGACCAAGTGGGGAGGGGAAGAGGAGAGGAGGAAAAGGATGGGAAGACTGAGAAAGACAGATAAAATTAATGGCCATTTGAGGGGTAGCATTGCAGTCTAATACAGTAGAATCTTCCTAAAATATATACATATATGAAGGATATCTAAATGAAATAACCAAATAACGGGAGAGACAGAGCCCCAACTATATATCTCCTGTCATCAAATGAACATTCTAGTCCCAGGATTCAGTTACATCTAATTGAGTCCTTAGTCAAAGGGGTCCTATGAGAATCCCCAAACAACCTAGCCTGTTGCCAAGACTATAGGTTGCTCTCCACAAACTGACACCAAGCCCCCATTGCTAAAGACATTCAACATGGAGACGTCAAGCTGGTTCCTACATAGAGCTTCACTCCTACGTTCTAGCATCTTTGGTACAGGAAGATAGTCTAGATGCCACCAAAAGAGAAACATAAACACCATTCCAGCCACAAACACGTTAATCTACAATGATGTCCTGCCTCTAAGATATACGAGAGCAATGATCAGCCATCATCAGAGAAGCTTCCTCCTGCAGCAGATGAGAACAAAACAGAGACCCCAGACAGACTTTATGAAAAGAGTAAGAAACCTTGGAACACTCAGCCCTAAGTGGGATGTCTCCATAAAAATCCTCCCCCTCAGAGCTCATGGAACCCTGAAGAAGAGAGAGTGTAAAAGTCAGAGGGGATGGAAGACACAAGGAAAATAAGGCCCTTTAAATTAAAAAAAAAAAGCTTACATGGACTCACACAGACTGAGGTAGCATTCACAGGCCCTGCACTAACCCTCACCAGGTCCTTTGCAAATATATATGGTTTCCAGTTTACTGTTTTGATAGGATTCCTGAGTGTGCACACAAGTGGGTCTCTGCTTCTTGTACCTTCTCTTGGGCTCTTTTGTTTGTTTTGTTCAATTTTGATGTGCCAGCTTTTGCTTTATCTTACTGTATTTCATCTTATTATTATCCCTTAGAAGCCTGTTTGTTTTCTAATTAGAGACAGGAAGGAAGTGGATCTAGATAGGAGAAGTGGAGAGAAGTAGACAGTGGAAACCATAATTAGGATATATTATGAAAGGAAAAATCTTTTTTCAGTAAAAGGGGAGAAAAGAAAACACGCATGCTTAAAAAATAAGAAAAGAAAGAAAGAAGGAAGTTGAACTGATTCTAAAAATAAAACCTGAAATGCCATCTTGGTTGACTAATGAAAGGATCCTTCTTAAAAGCAGGTCCCACCAGGCAGTGGTGGTGCACACCTTGAATTCCTACTCTTGGGAGGCAGAGGCAAAAGAATCTCTGAATTTGAGACCAGCCTGGTCTACAGAGTGAGTTTCAGGACAGCCAGGGCTACTCAGAGAGACCCCATCATGTGGGAAAATAAACAGGCTCAAGATGGAGTTTTGGTCTAAAATCAGTGGTATTTATATTTCTTTTGTGATTTCTGGCCCCAGAATGTATATTTTGAGCCAATTTTTAGTAGTAGGAGACTCCTATATAGATTCCACGATTCATAGAGTGGGGTCTATTATGACCTGAAGCTCTTAGAATCATCCCAGCCCAACCCAGTCTCCTTTACTAATGTAGTAACTCAAGGCCACCGTCGTAGGGGATCTCAGACTATCCTACTTAGTGATGATTACACACAGGTAGAGTTGAGATTCCAACCACATTTCTGCTTAGTCTCCTTAGTGACTCTTTCAGCCTCCACAAACTTTGTAGAAAATTCACTTCCAAGAGGCATCTTTGATGACTGATTCTGGATGCATTAACTTTGTGGAAGCTGGAATGTGGGTAGTAGCTTAACAAAATCTTTTTCCTATCAGTCCTATCACCAAAGATAATCAGAAACAACTTCTTGTAGCAAAGAGAGAAGTATGCTACCCTTCATACCTCAGCCTACCCTAAGATAGTCTAGAGATACCCTGAGTGACTCAAAATGCTTGAGAACATTGCGTTGGTTTACTTATATCGGTAAAGATCCAAAACATCAAAGTTCATGTCACGATACAGTTTCTAACATAAAGAGCAAATGATTACTCACCATATGGCTCCTTGTCCATCACTTATCCAACCTTCGTGCCGGCTTAACTCAAACTGTATGGGCTTTTTTTCTTTCTTTTCTCCTCCTCCAGGCGGCTGCTGAGATTTATAGTTTGCCTGCTCTGGGGTCTCTCCTTTAAAGTCTAATAAAATTGTCCACTTTGAATAGACTTTATTTTGCTTGGGGGGAAGTGGGGAGGCAAATGGTTCCATCTAGAAAAGGAAAAAGAATAGATAAGCAGGCTGTCTCTGAAGACTTTAGAAGCAACGTGATGTGTGACATATGTGAAAATTTGCTTTCACCCTTTGCTTTGGAAACTCCTATGGGGTTGCCAGTTCCAAGTGGGATCCAGAATAAGGACATTTTTTTTTGCCAAAGATGCAGGCATGCTCTCCTGCCACCCTTATGTGTAGCAGACACCACAGTTTACACAGACAGAGATCAGAAGAGGCAGGGCAGTCTCTGCCATGGATGTTCTGACCAGCCATAGTGAAGGGAAGCTTCCGAGTGAAGGAAGTGGTGTGGGACCATGTGCCGGAAGGAAGTCAGTCATGGACATGACATCAGACAATAACCTGAAATGAGGAAAAGGGATTTAACATCCCTCTGGAAACACAGTGTGGTGGCCGTGGCCACCTTCCGCCTGATATATCTGAGGATCGTTTATTTTATGTTTTGAAAATTTGTTTTGGTTTTTTGAAACAGTGTCTCACAGGCTAGCCTTGAACTCATGGCAATTCTCCTGCCTCAGCCTTGAAACTGTTAGGATTTTGGGTGTGAGCTACAATGCCCAGCTATTTAACTTATTTTTAATTATCCCTAGAAACATGAAACTATACATAGTTATGGGCTATCACGTAATTTTTCAAGATAAGTAAACATAGTATAATGTTTAAGTCAGGATAAACTTTGCTCTCAAACATTCAACAATTATGATGACAATATTTAAAACTAGTATTTTGGGGAGTTTTTTTGGGTTTTGGTTTTTTGTGTTTTGGTTTGGTTTTTAGTTTTTTACTGCGTAGCTCTGGCTGTCCTGGAACTCACTCTGTAGACCAGGCTGGCCTCTAACTCAGAGATCTGTCTGCCTCTGCTGCCTGGATGTTTCTTTTGCCCAGGTGTGGGGATTAAAGGCATGTACCACCACTGCCCACTTCAAAATTAGTATTTTAAAAGACATTTCCTACTCCAAAACAACTACAGTTCCCTGAAAGACAGACTTCCTTGTAGGAGCAGGATTTGGATGTCTAGAGCTGGCTTCGAAGAATCTTTTTCTTTTAATATGTATTTGTTTATTCATTTGCTTTATGTATATGTGTATATGAGTATTCACTTGCCTGCACATATGTGCATCTACACAGGGGCCAGAAGAGAATGTTGGATGGATCCTTTGGAATTGGATATATAGATGGTTGTGAGCTGGCTTGTGTGTGCTGGGAATCAAACCTGAGTCCTCTGGAAGAGTAGTCAGTTCTCTTGACCACTGAGCTATATCTCCAGGCCCCTAAGACTCCTTTTTATTGGTCCCCAAATCAGCACTTAGAGGTCAGAGAAAGGGGAGAGACAGATGTCCAGCCTCTGCCTGTGGCCAAGTTGAAAAAGTGGCACCACGCACCCACCTTCCTGATGTTTGTGAACAGATGGGAACACCTATGTTTGCCCCCCCCCCATGTACTGAATCCTGTTCCCCATGAGATGGCATTTTAGCTCGGGGTCTTTAGAGGCAGTTCAACCCTGAGGGTGATTCCCTCATGGGGAGACCTTATCAGAATAGAAGCCTGGTAAGCCATGCCTGTAGTCCCAACACTGGGAAGCAGAAACAGGAGGATCACTCACAAGTTTAAGGCCAGCCTGGGCTACATAGTGAGCTTCAGGCTGATGTGGGCTTCACAGTGAGACCTTGTCTCAAAGCAAAAACAAAAGCAAATAGAGCTGACTTGTGCTCTGTGTCACCTCATCACCATGGGAGAGTACACGGAGAAGACTGTAGTCTGTACACCAGGAAAACAGCCCTCTCTGGGGACACTGGGTTAGCTAGTACCTGGATCTTGGTCTTTCAACCTCCGGAACTGCTAGACATAAACAGCTGTCATTTAAGCCATCAGTCTCCAGTGTATCAGTGATAGCATGGGCAGCCATCAGTCTCCAGTGTATCAGTGATAGCATGGGCAGCCATCAGTCTCCAGTGTATCAGTGATAGCATGGGCAGCCATCAGCCTCCAGTGTATCAGTGATAGCATGGGCAGCCATCAGCCTCCAGTGTATCAGTGATAGCATGGGCAGCCATCAGCCTCCAGTGTATCAGTGATAGCATGGGCAGCCATCAGCCTCCAGTGTATCAGTGATAGCATGGGCAGCCATCAGTCTCCAGTGTATCAGTGATAGCATGGGCAGCCATCAGCCTCCAGTGTATCAGTGATAGCATGGGCAGCCATCAGTCTCCAGTGTATCAGTGATAGCATGGGCAGCCATCAGTCTCCAGTGTATCAGTGATAGCATGGGCAGCCATCAGTCTCCAGTGTATCAGTGATAGCATGGGCAGCCATCAGCCTCCAGTGTATCAGTGATAGCATGGGCAGCCATCAGTCTCCAGTGTATCAGTGATAGCATGGGCAGCCATCAGTCTCCAGTGTATCAGTGATAGCATGGGCAGCCATCAGTCTCCAGTGTATCAGTGGTAGCATGGGCAGCCATCAGTCTCCAGTGTATCAGTGATAGCATGGGCAGCACCGGCAAATAGACAGTGGATTGTGAGTGTGCTTTCTTGGAAACCTGGTTTTATTCTGCTGGTTTTTAAGATAAATATGTAATTATTAAATTTTGGGAATTTCATACATGCATTTGATCATATCCATCCTCTCCTGGATGCACTTCCACTCAGACATACTTCCCCTAACTCCTGCCCCCTGAATTTCTTCTCTATTTTTTTAAGTAGCCCACTGATCACTGATTCCAATTTGTGTTACTCATAAACCCATGAATATAGGGCCACACACTGGAACATGGTTTACCTATCAGAGACCGCACCATTAAATAAAATTGACTATTCCTCCCCCAGAAGCCATCAGGTGTCAGTAGCTTCTCAACTAAGGGGAGGGGCTTGTCAGTTCTTACCCTGTCCATGCTGGAGTATTGACCAGCTTGATTTTGAACAGGTCTTATATAAGCAACTACAACTGCTGTGAGTTCAGGAGCATAGCAGTCCTGTCATGTCCAAAAGGAATCATTTCACTCTACCGCTCCCTACAATCTTCCTGCCTCCTTTTTCACAGTATTTTCTGAGCCTTGTGGGGAGAAGGGGTGAGTTAGAGGTCTTACGTGTGGCTGAATACTCGACAGGCATTTATTCTCTACATTTTGAGCAGTTGTGAGTTTTTGCACTAATGACCATTCATTGCACAAAGAAACTGCAATAACCAATCTACTGATATAGAGATGCAAATGTGGATGGTTAGTTTGATGCTATGCTCATTCAGCAAAATAATAGTAATAGTTTTACCCCTGGATACTAGCCATGGATTTCTAGGCAGATTTACAGTATCGGACACAAATTTCCTCCTGAAGAGCAGGCCTTATATCCAATCACAAATCAGTTGGTTGGCCCCATAATATTCACACCACTGTGGCACCCAGGAGCATATCTTGTCATGCTTGTCATTATAATTCACAACTCGGTAAGATTTGTGATGACTTTTGTACTCCAACAGCCGGCAAAGCTGCTTCAGAGAGGAAGTTTCCTGGTCAATATCAGCTTGATTTCTCATTGTCCTGTGTTGTGGGGTATTTGTACACTGTGTGAAGATATATTGCTGTGATTGGTTTAATAAAGAACTGAATGGCCAACAGCTAGGCAGGAAGTATAGGCGGGACTTCCAGGCTGAGAGAGGAAGTAGTAGGAGATAATTCAGGCACAGAGGAGACTAAACAAGACATGGAGGGGGGGAACCCAGATTACAGAATGAGAGAAATGTAAAAAGCCACAAGGCAAAGTGTAGATTGATATAAATGGGTTAATTTAAGTTATAAGAGCTAGTGGAACAAGCCTAAGCTAAGACCTAGCTTTCATAATTAAGAAGTCTCTATGTTGTTATTTGTAAGTTGGATGCCAACAACAAAACTTACTACAGTACTCTGGCCATGTTTTATGCTGCCTTTAACAGCAAGATCTTACCATCTGACTCAGGATGGCAATCAAAAGCAATAATAATAGTCTGTATTATTAGGAGGGGTGTCTCTAGGGTACCCCTGACCAACAACTGGAGGTATGCTGATCCACACATGGCACTAGCCTTTTTGTTTGGCATCCTATGACTTGACGCACAAACTGAAGTCCATGTACCCTATGGCTTCAGCTGTCATCTCCACCTCTCCAAGAAATGTGTTAACAGTGATTCTCTGACCAGCCGAGCCTGTGGTGGCTAAGAAGAAAAGGGCACAGTAAAACTTCAGAACAGTTAGCAGCCTTTGGAGTGGGAAAGCAGGAAGGAGTGTGGTCTGGTTGCAATGCGGAGGCCCAGGCAGCAAGAGCGTGGTGCTTGTACCGTTTCCCAAAGGAGGGAGAGTAGCAACCATGTTCCCAGGCCCTCCTTACAGAGCTGCTGCATGGACTGAAAAGTGTGCAGAGCTCAAGCAGAGGCCAGCTGCAGCGGGGGCATCAACAGTCAGACCATCCCGGAGCCAAGGTGGCAGAGGCACCCACACTCGAGTGCACGCCCTTCTGGGACTGCGATGACACCCCAGGGAGTTCTAGGCAGCATAATGATTTGTTGCTCCCTAACCACACAGTTGTCATTGGTGGCAGCAGTGGTGTTATTGTTGTGGGTTAGTGCTTGGCAGCCTCCAGGCGCTGTGCTAGCTGACTCTCAACAGCGGTTCTCAGCAGCTCTCTGCCAACCCCTGGGCACAGCCTCCCCAGCACCTAAGTCCAAGGCAGCCTGGCCTCCTCCTCCTCTTCCTCCTCCTCCTCACCCTCCTCCAGCACCCAGGCAGTGCACAACCAGAGAGGGGGCAGACAAGATGCTGAGGTACTAATTGTATTAATGAAAATGGCAAACACACATCCTTTCCATCTGGCAGCACAAAGGAGAGGCTGTTGGGGATGCAATTACCCACTACAGGAGAGAGTAAAATATTTGTCAGGTTTAGCAATAAAATTAATATCCCCCAATTACTAGAGCCTCACTAATGAGATGAATACAAATTGCCTTCCTTA